TACCTTGGAGTGGAGGTACGCAGGTCGCGTGAGGGTGGATGCTTGGAGATTGGGCAGGAAAAGTACATCCGTGGTCTTCAGGTAAAGTTTGGTGATCTGTTGGGAGAGACCCATAGGGTGCATAGACCTATGTCCCCAAATGATCTCATTAAGATGAGGAAAGGTACCTGGTCTGCCGACGATGGCTTGCCTGCCGACGTTAAGGTCTACCAGAGTCTCATCAGCAGCCTGATGTTTCCTGCTGTGACCACTCGTCCTGGCCTCTCCTTCCTTGTCAATACACTTGCACAGTCATGCATCGCACCTAGATGCATTCACCTGCGTGCTGCCTTGAGAGCACTACGATATTTGGTCGACACAACCACCAAGGTGATACGGTATGAGCGACTGGGTGGTGACCAATTTATTGGGTATACTGACTCTGATTGGGCAAGTGAAGCAGACGAAAAGAGTCGTGCGGCCTATCTCTTCAAGCTAGGTTGGGGGGGCTATTAGTTGGTACAGCAAGAAGCAGGACAGTGTGGCATGTAGCAGCACTGAGGCTGAGTACAAGGCGCTATCCGAGGGGGCCAAGGAGGCCATATGGTTGAGGAGCTTGCTGGCTGAGATGCGTGTGGGTGATGAGGGGGCAATTCCATTGCTATGTGATAATGAGTCAGTCATTTCCCTTGCCCATAATCCCGTACTCCATCAGTGCACGAAATATATTAAGGTGGCTTGGCACTTTGTTCGGGATGCAGTGCGTCAGTAGGAGGTTGTGGTGCAGTCAGTGCGCTCTCACCTTCAAGATGCCGACATGCTCACCAAAGTCCTTCCAGGCTTGAAGCTGAATGCGGCCCTTGAGCGCATCGGCATGACGGCAAAGACTGAAGTGGCCAAGGCATCCTTTACAGGAGGAGTTATCCTTTGAATGGAGACTGGAACGGATGCTTATTGGAGCAAGGGGGGGTGTTGGAATTATGGGAATATCTAGGTTGCTCCAATAAACATACATATAGTCGATTGGCTATAAGTTTGGTAGTGTAGCGTACTTACTCAGTATGGGTTGGGAATGCTTCTAGAGGGTAAACTCTTAGATCCTTTCGGGTTGGTTGTGACTTGGCTGAAACTCATTCCTTGGATTCCATGGTGCCTTCTAAGGATAGGTCATGTCCAACTTGGTTCCTAAGCATCCTAGACTCTAGGGGGAGTTTCTAAGGATACATTAGTCTCTTAGAACACTTTAACATATTTCGCTGAAATTCAGATAACTACCCGTAAAAAATACGCCCTGGTCTTGGGTGGTACGACTGTGCGCTTTCGCCAGCACACAAATAGCTGGAGTGCGAAGAAACTGAAATTGGAGGAATTAAGGCAAATCTCCTCAAGGAGTCTACATGTTAGAATATACCATGCTATGCTAGTTGTGTATATTGTGTTTACATCCCTAGTTGGGTGTACACCTGTGTTGGGGTGTCAATCCAACCCAATTGTGGTTGGAGCCCCCAAACACAAGGACCACAATTGTGGGGGCACCACAAGTGGGTTGGCTAAACCACTGGTGGTACACCACACTTGGACCACCTCCAACTGGTGGTCAACCACATTTGGAAGGATCCTCCCTCCCTTGTGATTGGTCCTAACCCCCCCTTCCCTTCCAACCTTCCCTTCCTAGCTCATCTCTCTCTTCCTATGTAATGCCTTTGCTTCATCAATAAACTGAACCTTTCTGTTTCTAACATGGTATAGAGCAATAATGGCTCACGCCAACTTTTAAATCCCGATCCTTCCCCACGCTTCCGCCCCGTCCCCTTCCGACGTGCACCTCATTGCCGTCCCCTCCATCGCCGCTGCTAGACTCCTAGCCGCCGCCTCTCAACTAGTTTTCTGTTGGGTGGATTTTCAAAAACCCCCAATGCGCCAAACGCCATAGCTCGCTCGATAAATGACAGAATTGAGTGATTCGACTTGCAAAAGAACGCTCTTGGTGTCAGATACAACGTCATAAAATTTCGGACTGTTTCATCGCTTGGATTGTCAGATATCGCTTTCCGAAGTTTGCACACTTTCCTGGATGTGATCACGAAGTGCTACTGAAATCTCTACCAAGTCCTATATTCATCAGCTAACTGCCATCTTTCCCCATCTTTTGCCTCCTCACCTGCACCTGCTCATCGCCGCCTTACCACTGCTGCAGCCGTAGCAGCAGCAGCAGAAGCAGCAGCAGCAGAAGCAGCAGCAGCACCAGAAGGAGCAGCAGACTCAGCAGCAGCAGCTGAAGGAGCAGCAGCAGCAGCAGCAGCAGTGGCAGCAGCAGCAGCAGCGGCAGCAGCAGCGGCAGCAGCAGCAACAGCAACAGCAGCAGCAGCAGCAGCAGAAGCAGCAGCAGCAGCAGCAGCAGCAGCAGCAGCAGTATCTACAGCCATCCCCATCCTCCCCTCCTCTTTGAGCCGCCGCAGGTCCACCCGCCGCCGCTCCCTCCCGGCCACCGCGGGTCCACCCGCCGTCGCCTTCCTCCCACTCCGTGTCACCAATGGCATCCTTTCCCCCTCCCGTCGACGTCTCGACCCTCGATCATCTCGTGCGCGCTGCCGACAACTCAGCAACCAACTGGTATTCCTTCGTCGGCAGCCTCCACCGCGTCCTCGGCAGTGCTTATGTCCTGCCGTTCCGCCTCCTGGACATCATGCTTAGTCTCCTAGAGGGTGACCTTGGGGACCCGCCGCCTCACCCTGGCGATCCCCCCCCTCTCATTCCCCATCCCGGCGAGGAACCTCCGCCCCCCATGGTACCCGTTGGCACCAGTACTCGCGCTGCCACCGCTGAATTTGAGCAGCTCTTCCTTACTCAGCGTCGTGAGTTCCTCGTGCTCCATACTGATTACCTGATCGCGTTGGAGGAACACGAGCGGTCGGCAACCCTCCGCACCCAGCATGCCGCTACCGCTGCCGCTTATGCCGCTGACTCTGCGCGATTTGCTGAGCGTCGTCGCGCCTGGCTCGAGGCGGACAGCCGTGCTACTGGTGCCCTTCTCCTTGCCATCCCGTCTGCACTCATGCGCAACTTCCAGGCACGTCGCATCGGCTCCCGCCAGATCTGGCTCGAGTTTGAGGCAATGTTCGAACGCACCGACTTCGATGCTGTCGGACCGCTCTTCAAGGAATACTTCAGCATCACGATCGAACATAGTGCTGGCGCCGTTGACTACACCAGCCGTCTCCTGAACCTTGCCTCCCGCCTTGAGGCTCGCCAGACTACTCTCCCCCCCAACCTTCAGATCTACCGTCTCCTCGAAGGCCTCTCCCCTCAATATGAAGTGCGCGTCATCGCCTTCACTGAGGCTCAGCCCCGCGCCTCCCTTGACACTGTGGTCCAATGGATCATTGACGCTGAGGGCGGCGGTGGTGGCGGGGTCGAGGGTGGCAGCAATGGTGGTGGCGGAGGCAGTGGTGGCTCATCTGGTAGCCGTGGTGGCCGCCCTGGCACTCTCCCCCCATGTTCCTATCTTCGCCGTTTTGGTCCCAGGGCGGGTGAGCGCTGCACCCAAACCAACCATCCCCCCGCGACCTGCTTCAAGGCGTATGATGACGCCTGGTTCGAGCGCGGCAACACTGGCACACCCCCACGCTGGTCTGCCATGGATCCCCGCCCCTCTCTCCAGGATGTCAAAACTCTTCCGTCTTTCCTCCCCTCTCATCTTCAGCTCTCCTCCTCCTCCTCCTCTGTCGCTGACCCCATAACTCCCCAGGAGCTGCAGCAGCTTCGCCGCTTCCAGCAGCTGCAGCTGCTGCAGCAGCAGCAGCAGTAGGGCTCTGGTGGTCAGGCTGCAGCCGCAGCTGCAGGAGCCGCAGCCGCAGCATCTGCATGGCAGCAGCAGCAGCTTGGCTTTGGCACCGCCGCCATGGCTGCCACAGCCACACCAGGTCCTCCTGGCTTTCCCCTCTGGGGCTCTCCTTCCCCTAGTGCTCCCGCCTCCCACTCCAGCTTTCTAGGCGAGCTCATGCGTTCTTCCCCTGCTTCCACTTCCATGTATTCCTCTGTTTTTAATGCCAGTGATTTCCAGTACCCTGTGTCTTCAGCTCCCTCCTGGCTCAAGCACTATCTGGGCATGACCATCACCCGGGACCGCACATCGCGCACCATTACCCTCTCTCAGTCCTTCTACATCGACCAAGTCTTGCAGCGGTTCGACATGGCGCAGGCCAAGCCGGTTACCACTCCCCTGCAGACCGACCACCAGCTTGCCCCTCCTCCTGCTCCCTCCTCCTCTGACCATCCTTACGCTGAGCTCGTCGGCTCGCTGATGTACGCTATGATGTGCACCCGCCCCGACCTTGCCTACCCCATCAGTGTTCTTGCTCGATTCGTCGGTACCAGTCGCCACACTGATGAGCACTGGGCTGCAGCGAAGCGGGTCCTCCGCTACCTCCGTGGTACCAAGGACTATGTCCTCACCCTCGGAGGCTCTTCTCCTCCCCTCCTCTCTGGCTTCAGTGACTCCTCCTGGGCTGACTCCCAGCCGGATCGCCGTTCCTCTCAAGGCTACGGCTTCACCCTTGGCAGCGGCCTCATCAGCTGGCGCTCCACTCGCTCCTCCTCCATCGCCCTCTCATCCTGCGAGGCTGAGCTCTATGCTTGCACCATGGCCGCTCAGGAGGCTCGCTGGCTCACCTTCCTCCTTGCTGAGATCGGTGCTCCTCAGCGCTGTCCCACCCTCTGGTGCGACAACGCCAGCACCATCCATCTCACAAAGGACCCTGTCTTCCATGGCCGCTCCAAGCACATTGAACTCCGCTACTTCTTCGTTCGAGAGTTGGTCCAGCAAGGTCACTTGGTGGTCCGCAAGATCGCTGCAGAGGCCAACTTGGCCGACATCTTCACCAAGGCCCTCCCGAAGACCGCGCACTCTGCCCTCCTCCGCCTTCTCGGCCTTGGGCCCCGCCCCCCTTCCTGATTCTGGGGTTGTACCCTACATATACACTAGCTTTGCATGCTATGGGGTTGTGTTAGAATATACCATGCTATGCTAGTTGTGTATATTGTGTTTACATCCCTAGTTGGGTGTACACCTGTGTTGGGGTGTCAATCCAACCCAATTGTGCTGCTGCTGCTCCTTCTGCTGCTGCTGCTGCTGCTGCTGCTGTTGCTGTTGCTGCTGCTGCCGCTGCTGCTGCTGCCATTGCTGCTGCTGCCGCTGTTGCTGCTGCTGCTGCTGCTGCTGCTCCTTCAGCTGCTGCTGCTGCTGCTGCTGCTACTGCTGCTGCTGCTGCTGCTACTGCTGCTGCTGCTGCTGCTGCTGCTGCTGCTGAGTCTGCTGCTCCTTCTGATGCTGCTGCTGCTTCTGCTGCTGCTGCTACGGCTGCAGCAGTGGTAAGGCGGCGATGAGCAGGTGCAGGTGAGGAGGCAAAAGATGGGGAAAGATGGCAGTTAGCTGATGAAAATAGGATTTGGTGGAAATTTCAGTAGCACTTCGTGATCACATCCAGGAAAGTGTGCAAACTTCGGAAAGCGGTATCTGACAATCCAAGCGATGAAACAGTCAAAAATTTTACGACGTTGTATCTGACACCAAGAGCGTTCTTTTGAAAATCGAATCACTCAATTCTGTCAACTATCGAGCGAGCTATGGCGTTTGGCGCATTGGGGGTTTTTGAAAATCCACCCAACAGAAAACTAGTTGAGAGGCGGCGGCTAGGAGTCTAGCAGCGGCGATGGAGGGGACGGCAATGAGGTGCACGTCGGAAGGGGACGGGGCGGAAGCGTGGGGAAGGATCGGGATTTAAAAGTTGGCGTGAGCCATTATTGCTCTATACCATGTTAGAAACAGAAAGGTTCAGTTTATTGATGAAGCAAAGGCATTACATAGGAAGAGAGAGATGAGCTAGGAAGGGAAGGTTGGAAGGGAAGGGGGGGTTAGGACCAATCACAAGGGAGGGAGGATCCTTCCAAATGTGGTTGACCACCAGTTGGAGGTGGTCCAAGTGTGGTGTACCACCAGTGGTTTAGCCAACCCACTTGTGGTGCCCCCACAATTGTGGTCCTTGTGTTTGGGGGCTCCAACCACAATTGGGTTGGATTGACACCCCAACACAGGTGTACACCCAACTAGGGATGTAAACACAATATACACAACTAGCATAGCATGGTATATTCTAACAAGGGATACGAGGGATACGGGTTACGTGGCACTGAATATGGGGGCATGGGATATCAGGGCACTAAATACTGGCAACACCGAATCTCAGGGCACGAGAGCACGGAACGCCAGCAAACGCAAAAGGGCATGGGATACGAGGAAAAGAGGCCATGAAGGCACAGAACGCAATAAGTGGACGCAGTATGAGAGCACGAAATATTAGGGCACGAAACGTGAGCGAACGGAGGGCACGAGACATGAGGGCACAGGATATGGGGGCACGGGGTACTGGGTATTGGATATTATGACGGCACATGATACGATTGCGCCAGATGTGAGGGCACGGTACGTTAAGGCACGAGATATAAAAACACGGGTTTTGAGGGAACGGGATATGAGATGACGAGATATGAGGGCATGAGTATGAGGGCACGGAAGATAGGGGCATGAGATATGAGGGCGCAAGTTATGAGGCACGAGATCTGAGGGCATACAATCTTAGTGCATGCGGATGTGAACGCATGGGACATGAGGACGATGTGTAATATTCTATGGTTGCTCAGGTGGGTTGTGCACAATTTCTATGGTTCCATCATCAATGAATATGGCGGTAGAATCAAAGAGGTGTGCATCAACCTTTCAAAGCACCCATGAACTGCATACACATGAACAATAATGCTGTAAATGCAATAAAGCAATGCACGAATGCTTCCATGCAGCAAGTGGGGTTGACATGTACGTTTTGGAAGCAACGCTTTCCAAACCGACAACGACAACCGCCATCTGTGCAGTGCACTTGGCATAAATGCATCACTCCAGCACTGATACAGCATAACGAAACGCTTGAGTACAAAACGAGCACGTACAGCATACAAGTGTATAATAATGCAGTCAATGCGATGAAATGATACACGAATGCTTCCGTGCTGCAAGTGGAAGCAATGCTTTCTAAGCCAACAACGACAACCGACATCCATGCAGTGCACTTGGCATATATGCATCACTCGAGCACTGATACAGCATAACAAAACGATTGGGTGCAAACGATCGCGTACAGCATGCAAGTATATAATGATGCAGTCAATGCAATGAAATGATACACGAATGCTTATGCGACAAAACGCAGGGGTAAAGAATATATGGGGACTTGGAAAATGTGGACACATGATATGCAGTTACGGGATTTGAGGGCACAAGTTTTAGGACACGATTAGTGGAGTTACATGATATGAGGGCACGGGATATGTGGGCACGAGTTATGAGGTCACGGGATATGAGGACACAGAATATGGGGAGGATTGAATATGAGGGCATGAGAGATTGTTAGAAACAGCAAGGTTGAGTTTGTTGATGAAGCAAAGGCATTACGAAGAGAGAGATGAGCTAGGAAGGGAAGGTTGGAAGGGAAGGGGGGGTTAGGACCAATCACAAGGGAGGGAGGATCCTTCCAAATGTGGTTGACCACAAATGGGAGGTGATCCAAGTATGGTGGACCACAAGTGGCTTAAGCAGCCCACTTGTGGTGCCCCCACAATTGTTGTCCTTGTGTTTGGGGGCTCCCACCACAATTGGGTTGGATTGACACCCCAACACAGGTGTACACCCAACTAGGGATGTAAACACAATATACACAACTAGCATAGCATGGTATATTCTAGCAGAGATGATTGCAGAGAATATGTGGGGAAGAGATGGATACACTTGGCATGCATGCTCCAATGTGCAAAGATGACACAACGATAACTGTTATTAAGTAACGATTCCCAAGTACCATGCAATCCAACATACACCCAGGAAAACAATACGCATGCAGAAACATTCAATATAAACTGGGGAAAGAAGAGGAGGATATCAACGACGAGGCGCACACGTCATGGGTGTATGCGATGTTACAGTTTCACACAACAACCAACAACAGCTCAAATATGGAGAAGTTTGTAATGCTGGCTTAGATAAAGGATACTCCCCCCTTTCCCATTTTTTATTTCCTGCTCCTTTGTACCATCCCTACCACCCACACCCCTCCCCCCCCCCCCCTCCCCCCCTCCCCGCCCTCCCCCCCCCTCCTCCTTCCACTCCGCCCTTGCTTATCTTTCGCTAGCCCCTCTGGAACTTAGGTGATGCACAAAAGCAGACCTGCATGAAGTGAGAGTGGAGAAGGACACGTTCAAAGAAATTGTGAACTTAATGCAAGCTACTTGAATTGCTGCAAGAGCGCCAACACCAAGTTCGCACATCACAAGTGCACTGGAAACTGCAAATTACTGGTAGATGGTACAGTAATGGACTATGAACTAATGGGCTACCAAATAGTACGCCAGCAGCTAGTGCGTTGTCAGTTTGCACGCTTACAGCTAGACATGTATTCAAAGACAAAATGCACTACAAATTAGTAAATTGTTAGAAATGCCTTGCAAGAGAACTGATTGAAAAGGTAAAGAACAAACTGGTAGAGATAGGAAGATGGGCTCTAGCGGTCTGAGATAATGGTTTATACATGAAAAAAGTACGATTAGTGTGAAGTACATAAGGAGAATCAAAGCCATGGAATAGGGGAGACAAAAGGTCTGGTAGAGGGCACCAGAAGGAAATTGAAGGATTAGAATAAATGAAAAGGTTGTATGTATATCTACCGGTTTTGACGCCACGTCGGTTGTTGTGCTTCATAGGCGTTCCAGGTTCAGTTGGTGTATAGCTTGACACAATGTGCTTGTTGTTGGCATTCCTTGCTGCCATATTTCCAACCTGGTTTCATAAAGACAATCAAAATTACAGTTGTTAACGGGTATAGATTTGAGTTCGCAATCTGAGAAAGTACAAAGATATAATAGAGCAAAAAAGCTGCTCACATTCACTGGCTCGCGTTCAATTGAGGTGATTTTCCTCTGGATTGCTTCCCCAGCTATCCTTATCCCCATGCATTAGGTTATAAGAAACAAATGCATTACAATAGTGCCATTGTGCAATCAAAGCATAAACCAATAATATTGGTTAGGAATAATAATGAAGTAGCAATAAGGCATTTCGAGCAAAAGCATAACATGTAGCTTAATCTAGAGATGAATTCGGACGAAGATGTTTTAAAAATGTCAAAAGCATCATACTCTGTGGACAACAATAGGATCTCACCTCAGCTTGCCAATGTTTGTGCAGAGCACCAAGTATTTCCATCTTCTCGTCTGCATTCGCATTCGTGTAATCCTTAAAATCGGAGCTACCAAAGACTGCCTTGATCACCTTGGCACTCACTGTGGCGAGCACCCCTGTGCGAGAATCCTTGTCAGCTATGTACATGCATGCAACATGATATATAATAGGGGGGAATTTATGGTATTGCACTAACAAGAGCAGCATCACCATGTCATAAGTGATAAGTGTAAGTGACTTCAAAGTAGTAATACCAAGAAATCGTCTACGTACCATGTGTATCAAAGACAACCACAATCTAGAGGTTGTCGCTGGAAGTTGTTGAGAAGTGCTGCATGCTGCATTTGTACTTCTTGGCGGTGCAGTCAAAGACTACAGGAAATCCACATACAATTGTGCTTCCGTCAGGTGAAGTGTAGTTACATAACTGGCCGGGCATGGTGCGAACCTCCCGAGTCTCCAATGTGATAGTGAAAGTCACCTCAACATTTTTTGCCCAAGCACCGTCCTCCACAGCTGTCAGACTTTTGGATTTGGTTGGGAGATGGGATTGGGATAAGGAAAGAAACCAAATTATCATATTGATTGATGGTCTATATTGCGCTACAAAAGCATCTAGTATATGCATAAACGATCACGCATGCAACAAGGAAGTAGCTGTATGAGTATCACCTGCCAACTCTCACTTACGCTTTGACGTGACCGACGTTTTGGCATGTCGGTTCATTAGGAGTATCCGCAAGCTTGATGCGGTCAGCCATCTCTGCATCTTTCACTTGGATAACCCTTGTCTTGTAAAGATGAAATAAATGACAACAAAACCAGCTACTCAAGTTATATGTGTAGGAAAAAATGTTAGAGGATGGTAGGAGTAAAGGTTGAGGCATAAAGAATAGAGGGATTGGAGGAACTAATACGGAGAGGATTGCGGACATAAGTTGAATTGAATAGGTTGTAAGAAATTGCCTAAAAAGAACCAATTTTTTTGAAATCATACAAAGAAATACCATTTACTATTTGAACGGTTTAAAATAAGATACATGATCAAAGGAAAGAGATTAGAGAGAAAAGCAGACCTTTTCTTCAAACCACAAACCTTTGGGTTGTCATCATTTGACATTCACTCATGTATAGCTCTGTTATCCACAAAACGATGGAAGTCTCCGATGTATCAGTTTTGGGTGTCTGCTTCTCTCCTTTCATGATAGGAAAGATCCAATCGCCAATTGACCCAAGCGCCGTCAGCCCGAATCGGCCGCTCTGATGACGAACAACACAGATGAGTTTTGTCAACCTGCCGACTTTCTCCTCCTTGACTATCTGAAG